CTCTAATCATCTCTTCACTTTAGTTCCCAGCATAGAGTGTGATTTTCCTGGGTGAGTATCCTTTGTTCTCTTTTTCAGGATGTGACCTTATTCCTGCCAGAGTGGGAAGATGGGCATTTCTACCTTGCCAAATACTATGACAAATTGATGCCAATGGTGACAGACAACAAAATGGAGAAGCAGGGTGACCTCATTCGTTATATAGTCCTTCATTTTGGAAGGTGAGTAACTGTTGACTTGCTCAGTACCATCAATCTCAGCATACACTGCTTCACCATTGGTTCACTCTTCTTGGTTGAGATACAAATTTTTTGTAATAGGTTTTCCTTTTTAAAAATAAGTAATTAATGGAAAAAACATGTATATATTTTAAAAATTTCAATAGTGCCTGTAGTATACAATGAAGATTAAGTACCATCCTATTTCATACCCTCATCCTCTTCCCCTTCCTAAATTTCTGTAAGACATATTTAATTGCCCATAGAATGTTTTCTTTCAACATAATCTGCTAAGTAACTTTATAATGTATGAAAATGGTTTCATTCCAAAGAAGTAAAAATGATACCCCATTCATTCTTGCTGCCACACTCAGTTACCTTTACTTTACAATAAGTCTAATTAAAGTTGTCTATTATTAGAGAATTTTACTTCTCATTTCAGTATTTTAAAGAAATCAATATTGATTCATCAGGGATAATAGAATTGCAAATTGGCCAAGCCTTTTTTTCCAAAATGGAATTCAAGTTTTATAAAATCCAAACTGAGCATACTTATTAATGATTATTAATAGCTTGTTTTTGAGACAGAATCCTGGTGTATTGGCGGTTTAAAATGAAAACAGTCAGAAGGCAATTATTAGTGTATTGTTTTGTAAAATAAGTAGTAACTTTCATTTGTTCCTTAGTCTTAGCATATATCTCGTGCATTGGTATATAATAATTAATAAAATTCTTCTAAAACAAGAGCGGCTTGATGTTAATAAAACTGCTACATATATTGTAGCATGAGACTTTTAAAAGTACAGCTCACGAAAGTAAGGCTATTTTAGAACATATTCTGTCCACAATAGTTAAAATAAAATACTTGGTTGTACCCAAAGGACAAAACTCATATATTGAGACTTACTCTTCCCCTGACATATTGAAATGATTTTGTTATTACTAATTAAACATTAGTGTTTGCCTTCAGAGAGCTACAGTCCAATTGGAGAAAGCACATAAAATGTTTACATAATGGAACATACTGGAATGTGTGATCAGACATCAAAATAAATGATAACAAATAGCTCCAGAAATTATGGATATTGGCTAAATCTGAAGTTAAAACTCGGGCCACTGAATTCATGATTTCAAAAGTACACTTTTTTCACTTGTATTTCTATAAAAATATGGTAAGCCTTACAAAGAAAATAGAATTTGGAGGACAATTAAGTTCTAGGAGAGGACATTACGAACTACAGAGTTGGCGGAGAAAAAGTTGAGAAGATGGTAAGGAAATTGGATATAATGGAAGATTTATCCTAGTGAGTATGAGTAGTGGGAAACAAAGTAAGTTTGGAAAATTATAGAGTGATTGGGCAGAACAATGCTTTTGGATGTGTAGTACAAATGAAGGCATATCTTTTTTCTTTTTCTTTTTTATATTCTAACATTTATTTTTTATCACGAAGTATTGTTGGTTTACATCCTTGTTAGTATTTTGACAGTATCTAATAGAATTTCTCTGCTCA